GATGCAGAGGAACACGTTGAAGCTGTGAATGCCAAATGTGCTTCTCTGGAAAAGACAAAGCAGAGGCTGCAGAATGAAGTGGAGGACCTGATGATTGATGTGGAGCGATCAAATGCTGCCTGCGCAGCTCTGGATAAGAAGCAGAAGAACTTTGACAAGGTCTTTTGGGCTCCGGGCCTGGGGTTCCTGGGCAGAGCATCCCCTCCCGATTGCCACATCCACACTGAGGTCCTGTTTCTCTTCAGATCCTGGCAGAATGGAAGCAGAAGTACGAGGAAACGCAGGCTGAGCTGGAAGCCTCCCAGAAGGAGTCTCGGTCTCTCAGCACAGAGCTGTTTAAGATGAAGAATGCCTATGAGGAGTCCTTGGACCACCTGGAAACGCTGAAGCGTGAGAACAAGAACTTGCAGCGTAAGTCCCTGGCCCTCTGCTCCTGGCTGGGCTTTCTCACAAGCTTGTCTATCTGCCACACTAAACGGGTCTGGGCCAGTTACCTTGGTGCACCAGGGCCTTTCCCCACTCTGCTGTGTGCCTCACCGTGCCACTTTTCACCCTTCCTTGCAGAGGAGATTTCCGACCTCACAGAGCAGATTGCTGAGGGAGGAAAGGCGATTCATGAGCTGGAGAAAGTCAAGAAACAGATTGAGCAGGAGAAATCTGAACTCCAAGCCTCCCTGGAGGAAGCTGAGGTACGTGCCCATAATCACTGGTATCTGCACTAAAAATATTAGCAATGGGGAAAAGTGGCTAAGAAATGTTTGGTCCTGCTCTGTCCTGGCTGGGGAGTGCAGCCAGCTGAGATTTCCTGAAATATTCTGTAACTACCTAGAAAGCAAGCAGTAGCTTTATCAACATTATAGATGTTTGCGTCCACTTTTCCAGGCCTCCCTAGAACATGAAGAGGGGAAGATCCTGCGCCTCCAGCTTGAACTCAACCAGGTGAAGTCTGAGATTGACAGGAAGATAGCAGAGAAAGATGAGGAGATCGACCAGATGAAGAGAAACCACCTCAGAATTGTGGAGTCCATGCAGAGCACCCTGGACGCTGAGATCAGGAGCAGGAATGAAGCCCTGCGACTGAAGAAGAAGATGGAGGGAGACCTGAATGAAATGGAGATCCAGCTGAGCCATGCCAACCGCGTGGCTGCAGAGGCACAAAAGAACCTGAGAAATACACAGGCAGTGCTCAAGGTATGTTTAGCTAAGGATGTGCACATAGGTGTCTAGCTTGTCTAATATCATTGAATCATAGAATGGTTTGGGTTGAAGGGGACCTTCAAAGATCGTCCAGTCCAGCCCCTCTCCCGGGGGCAAGGACTTCTCTTCGTAGATCAGGCTGCTCAAAGCCCCATCCAACCTGACCTTGAACACTGCCAACGATGGAGCATCCACGGCATCCTGTCACTGGGTTCCAGGGACAAGAGATCAGCACCTCCCTCTTCTCTTCCCCTCCTCAAGAAACTGTAGAGGGCAATGAGGTCGCCCCTCAGCGTTCTTCCCTCCAGACTAGACAAACCCTGTGTCCTTAGCCGCTCCTCAGAGGACATGCCTTCCAGCCCTTTCACCAACTTTCTTGGCCTCCTCTAGATGCACTCAAGACCCTTAACATCCTTTCTAAATTGTGAGACCCAGAACTGCACACAATACTCAAGGTGAGGCCACACCAAACCTTAATACAACAGGAATACAGCTCCAACTGTGCCTTAGCTTTCCTGATCCTACCCCTACACATCCGGGCAGCATCCCTATACTCTCAGGATACATGTCTTTGCTTCCACTGCCTAGGCATTTCCTTCTTACACCTCAGTTTGACCAGGAGGTCCTTACTCAGCCATGCTGTTCTCCTGCCTTCCTTGCCTGATTCCTTACACATGGGAATCGAGAGCTCTTGCACTCTAAGGAAAATGTTCTTAAAGGGCTGCCAACTCTTTTGTGCTCCTTTATCCCTGAGGGCACTTTCCCAGGGGGTCTCACCCAGTAATTCCTCAAACAACTGAAAGTCTGCTCTCCTAAAATTCAGGGTCTCGACCTCACTCTTCATCTGGCCCATATCCCTCACAATTGGGAATACCACCAGGGCACGATCACTGCAGCCCAGGCTGCCATCAGTTTTGACATCTCTAATTAGTTCGTTTGTGTTGGTAAGCAACAGGTACAGTAACGCTTCTCCTCCGGTTGGGCTGTCTATCCTCTGGATGAAGATGCTATCCTTGATGCACTCCAGGAGTCTCCTGGACTGCTTACAGCTTGCTGTGCTGCTTTTCCAGCAGATGTCAGGGTGATTGATGTCCCCCAGCAGGATCAGAGCCTGCGAGCGTGATGATTCCCATAGTTGAAGTAATACCGCTTCGTCAACAGGCTCCCCTTGGTCAGGTGGCCTGCAGTAAACACCAGCCACGAGGTTTCCTTTGTTGGCTTGGCCTCTAATGTTTACTCATAAGCTCTCAACCTGGCTCATCACTGTTTTTCAAAGACAGCTCTGTGCAATCAATCCATTTTTTACATAGAGGGCAACCTGCCCGCCTCTCCTTCCTTGCCTGTGCCTTCTGGACAGTTTATGGCCATTGATTGCAGCACTCCAGTCGTGTGATTCATCCCACCAAGTTTCAGTGTCAGCGATTAGATCACAGCTTTCTAGGTGCACAGTGGTTTCCAGCTCCTCCTGTTCATTACCCATGCTACATGCATTGGTATAGAGACACTTCAGATGGGCTATCAACCATATCGCCTTTTTAGAGGAACAGACTCCAATTCTTTTGGAGCATTTCACAGATGTTTTCCTGTTGCTTCCTAACATATCAGCAGCCCCTGGCTCTTCTCTGTTACTCAAAACTCCATTCTCTTCCCCTGTTAAGTCTAGTTTAAAGCCCTGGCCAGCTTGTTGGTGAAGACCCTCTTGCCCCACTTGGTCAGGTGAATCCCATCTGCTCCCAACAGACCGAGCTTCTCAAAGGCAGATCAGATCCATAATCATAGAAGACAAAACCTTGAATTTGGCACCAGCTAGACAGCCAGGCGTTCACCTGTTCAATTTGTCTCCTCCTTCCTGAACCCCTCCCCCTGACTGGGAGGATAGAGGAGAACACCACCTGTGCTCCAGATCCTTTTAACATTGCTCCGAGGGACATAGAGTCTCTTTTGATGGTTATACGTTGCCTTGTTGCAATATCATTAAAGCCTACATGGAATACTAGGAGCGGATGATAATCTGAAGGGCTCACCAGGCTTGGCAGCCTCTCTGACACCATGAATGCAAGCTGTTTGTAGGCAGCAAACTTCTCTAGAGAAATTGTCTGGATGGTAAATGGGTGTTTTGGTGCCTCTCAGTAAGGAATCTCCCATTGCTAATACCTTATGTACTTTTCTGGTGGCACTGGTTCTAATGTGAGTGGGTTTTCTCTCCAGCTGGATCAACTTGACATGGTTGACTTTTCCTGGGTCCTGTCAGTTACTCATGTGCTCTTCATTTTTCAAGCCCAGAGTATCGTGTCTGTTATGTAGTGGCACTTCAGAGGATGGGGGAAGGTTCTTTCTTCTGCCCCAAGCAGGGACAAAGGTCCAGTTTCCTTCACCTGGTAAGCTACTTTTGTCAGTCAGCTGGAGTTTTAATTCAGGCTTACCTTCCCCTGGCGCAGCCTTAAATTTAGGCAGGGCTGTCACTCAGCCTGGGACAGTGTGCAATACCATGTATCGATCTCCTCTGCTCACATTCTTAGATACTGTGCATATACCGACATAATAATTCTGCATATAAATACATATCATATCTATAAATATATATGTATTATACTGACATAATGATTATTAGACTGGTAGTAATAGCCATTGTGCAACAGTGCTGTACCGCCTTATAATTTCTCTTTTCTCTCTTAAAGGATACCCAGATACACTTGGACGATGCTCTCAGGACACAGGAGGACCTGAAGGAGCAGGTGGCCATGGTGGAGCGCAGAGCAAACCTGTTGCAGGCTGAAATAGAGGAGCTACGGGCAGCCCTGGAGCAGACGGAGCGGTCGAGGAAAGTGGCTGAGCAGGAACTGATGGATGCAAGTGAGAGAGTTCAGCTCCTCCACACTCAGGTTAGATTCATGACATTCAAAATATCAAGAGCCATTTTATTTTTCTCTTTCCAGGTTTTTCATCCTTGTAAAGTCTTAAATCATCTCTTGTAATAAAAAGGCTTGTACAAAGAATTGGATTATAGCTAAATGAGTAGGATTGCATTAACAGGAGTAGGAAGTGCTTCTTAAGATTTTAAGAACTCTATGCTCTCTAGCTGTGTATGACCTGACAGGATGGACCATTTGAAGGAGGATGCTAATATTAGACATAGAGATGATAAGTTTAAATTTAAACAGCAAATTTCTAAGATAAGTGTTCTGTTTTGGAACTAACTGGACAGTATTTTTTGTTGTTCAACAGAACACCAGCTTGATCAACACCAAGAAGAAGCTGGAAACAGACATTGCCCAAATTCAGGGTGAAATGGAGGACACAATCCAGGAAGCCCGCAATGCTGAAGAGAAGGCCAAGAAGGCCATCACAGATGTGAGTCGGGGGCTCCTTTCACTGCTAATGATGGATATATTCTCACCCAGAATGTCTCCAGCCCCCAAATGGCTTTGATCCCTTGCTCTCATCAGGCGGCCATGATGGCAGAAGAGCTGAAGAAGGAGCAGGACACCAGTGCCCACCTGGAGAGGATGAAGAAGAACCTGGACCAGACAGTGAAGGACCTGCAGCTTCGTCTCGATGAAGCCGAGCAGTTGGCCCTGAAGGGAGGCAAGAAGCAAATCCAGAAGCTGGAGGCCAGAGTGCGTGGGGCTTTTATTTGTGCATGAGTGAGCACGTCACGTAAGTAGCCAGCAGGGAAGCTCCAAAGATGGGGTGCTCATTGCAGGTGCGGGAGCTGGAAGGGGAGGTTGATGCTGAGCAGAAGCGCAGCGCTGAAGCCGTGAAGGGTGTGCGCAAGTACGAGAGGAGGGTGAAGGAGCTGACCTACCAGGTAAGGCAGGAGGCCGCCTTGGGCTGACAGAGTTTTCTCACAGCAAGTCAGATTTTGTGCACACCATCCCCAAAGGGAACTGTTAACCTCACATGATGCAGAACCAACAATTCATTCTCTTTCCTGCTTGCCAACCGCTCTAGTCTGAGGAAGACCGTAAGAATATTCTCAGGCTGCAGGATCTGGTGGACAAGCTGCAAATGAAGGTGAAATCCTACAAGAGACAAGCTGAGGAGGCTGTAAGTATTGCTCGAAGAATGGGCAAGAGCCACCTTCCATTGGGGCAGCACGCTCACTGAGATGAGTATGAATACCAGGAAAGGGGCATGAAAGAAACTCCCAAGACACAACAGTCTTGGCCACACCGTTTACTATGGTGTCGTGAGGCCTTGCTGAGTTCTGGGCACCCTGCAGCAGTCAGTGATGAACTGAGGGAAATTCTGCAGCCTGTTTTATACAGGACATCAGACTAAACAAACCCAGGGGCCACATCCACTGAGTGAGAAGTTCCTGAATCCTCACCACCGACTCCCTCTCCCCACACAGGAGGAGCTGTCCAATGTCAACCTCTCCAAATTCCGCAAGATCCAGCACGAGCTGGAGGAAGCTGAGGAGAGGGCTGACATTGCAGAGTCGCAGGTCAACAAGCTCCGAGCGAAGAGCCGGGAGTTTCACAGCAAGAAGATAGAAGAGGAAGAGTGAGGATGTCATGAGGCAGCAAAGTGACCTGAGGGCTGCACAAAATGTGAACCTCTCAGTCGCTTTCTTCTTCAATGAGTCTTTGTAACCATGTTAATGTCTAGAGAATAAAGAACGTAGATTCCTTTGCATACACAGTGTTTTTGGTTGTTCCAATTCAGTTGTGCAGTTACATAAGTCTGGGGCCTGTTCAAATGAAACATTTTATTTCACTTTAACCCCTGGATAGCAGTAGAGCTTTATTTAGCCCATCACCAGTATTCCTCCACCGTGTCCTATTACATTACTGGGTAGGGAGTAACACTAATTTAATTCCCAAACTGGCAAGAGGAGAGGATCAGGACAAAGGCAGGACGAGTACCTTGACTGTCCTGGCACAGCAAAAATGTTTCTGCCTTGGGGAGTCCTCTTTCTAAATGGGTGCTGTACACAGAGGGTCTCTTTGCTGGTCCCATTCTCACTGTGGCAAGCTGGATTTCGGGGCAAGTTGCCCCATAAAAAAAAAATAAATTAAAAAACCGGAGCCCTAAAGGCATCTGGGTGTCTCTGAGTCCTCATGGAGGAACTTACGCAAGGACTGAGGTGCTGCCTCCTTTGAACAAGGCAGGTGAAGGCCACAAACTCTAGAGAGTGGGGTTTTATTGAGCAAAATTAAACATCAGGCAGAGCTTTTTTTATGGAAGAAGTTAATAACCATCAGTGCTAAAGCAAAACAAATAATGTATTTGGATAAGAAGACATTGCAGTTCCTTACTTTCTCTGTTAGACAGAATAGCCAATATTAAGACAGGATGCTGCTGTTGTAAATGAAATGGACATTGATGAACGGGTTGGCAGAGTAACCGTGAACAAGAGGACTCACTATGGGATAAGCCCCAGCCAATGTAACATGTAGAGCCACCAGAACAAGCTAGGAACTGCTGCCCTACTGAATAGTGTCTTCCGGTAACGAAATATTAATATAAGACTATAATAAGCTTTTGTGCCAAGGAATAATGTGGATTTATGTGTGAATACGAAAAGCTAAAGGAAAAAGTTTTGATCACGTAAGATAAAGCTTCCGGTGGGAATAATTGTGGGAACACTACAGCTTTAAAGAAATCACAAAATCTAGCACTTTATGGAGGAAAAGACCATAGATGATAATGCCAGACTGTGTCCTACCTGTATGACTCTTCCGGCAATGGATGAGTTGGAATGTAGATACTAACTGCATCCTGGATGGACAGAAAGAAACAAGTCACCTACACAACGTGTGCTGGTCTGAAGTCTTAGACAAATGACAGCCTGTTTCCTGCAAGGCAAGAAGCAGTACTTAAAATATGGAACAGCCATTCTGGCAGCACCGGACCCTGGTGCATGGCGTAGCTGCTAAGAGCAGATTCTACAAATGGTAAAAGAGACTTGGCTCTCTTTCACTACAGGGACACTTATGGCTCCCTCAAGGTTCCTGGCCAGCTCTGCATTGCTAGGGAGCTTCAAGGAGCTGTGAAGTTGCTGGGGAAGGGCGCTGGAGTTGTTGGAGGGGAAGTGTGGAGGAGACGGCAGGAAGGAAGCCTTTTTGCACCGACCACAGCAGTCCGTGTGTTTGCAGCAACAGCATTCAGGGTTAGGAGGTCCTCCTTCTCCAAAGCACACTGAGGTTTACACCCAAGAAATCCACCCACATTATAACTAAATATGGAAGTAGTTTGCTAGGCAGCAGCTAAATATATTTAAGGAAAAGATGACACCCTGTGCTGACTCCTGTGTCACTGTAAGTGATGCTCTTGAGAGACAGCATCTCTGTCTGTGAAGCTGTGAAAGCTGCATCAATGCCAGCGATATCTGGGCACCAAAGAAGGGAAACCACCCCTCTCCTCTCTCCATTCCCACAGCATGCTCCCAAGAAATAGGTGGGATTCTTTCTTCCCGGACAAAACCTTTGTTTCCACACGTTGTAAGGAAGCAAAAGGACTTTGTTTGTACTAACGCACATATTTCTTTAAATGAATGAACAAACAAATGATACCAAGTGCAAAAGCTTAATTCCGAAGTCAGTGTATTGCAGCTGTGGCTCAGTAAAAGTGTGGTGAAGTATTTCTAGCTCCATGGGTACCTTTTTAAACTTGCCGACTGACTAGCAAATGCCACAACAACTTTGGGGACCATATTTTGATGCCCACATTCCCTGTTCCCCTTGGACAATATTACAATGACCATCCAAAACGAACAACCTGGCCTGACTGTGGAAGAATCACAATGCACTTGAAGCACTTGAAAATGTCAGGGCTCATCTCTCACCTGTAAGAAATTGTGGCTTGAAAATTTGTTCCTAAGTGCTCAACTGATGAAAGGTAATGCTGCAGGTTCCTTAAATGACAACGTCTTGGTCCAATTACCTAATTCAAACTGCACGTGTAGGAAACGGGGAGAAGTCCCACACATTGCACGGGGCTGACGTGGCCTTGCCACTGGCCATCCCGGAAAGCATGACTGGAGGCTTCTTGGAATCAGAAGGGAATATTAATGGGAGGAGTAAGGAAAACTAATTTCTACTCACTTTGTGATTTGCTGCCTTAGCTGGAGGACAGGAGTCATTTTGCATAGACACACTATTTCTGGAGTCAGACTGCTTGTGACCTGGTAAGTAAGTGCTGATGCAAGGGTAACTGATCTTGGGAAAAACATTATTGATATCAGACACTTCTTGTCAATAATTTGTCATAATAACGTTCATCATTGCTGTTCTCCAAGCACTTCCAGGACATACACTCAGGACCTAGAAACATTGCCTTGACCAAAAAGTGCATTCCTCGCCAATGACAGGAAAGGAGAAGGACAGAGAGTGAAAAAGCAAGAGAGGAGGGGAGGAGGGAGAGGGAGAGGGAGAGGGAGAGGGAGGGGGAGAGGGAGAGGGAGAGGAAGGGGGTTGGGGAGAGAGATTGAGAGAAATAAGTGGAGAAAGAGCAAAAAAAGTGAGACAGGGAGAGGAAGGAAGGAAGGAAGGAAGGAAGGAAGGAAGTGAACAATCAGACAAACATCATCTAGCTGTTGGTACCTGACCTTGGACTTCAACTCTGCTGCTTTTGATCAGCTGTGAGATCATTTGCTAGTTACAACATCAGCCCTCTTCAAGTAGTTGGGTCATAGTGCATGTAGCTGCTGTTCCTAGGTGCAGAATCATGGTTTCAGAGGCCAGAGGTGTGAAAAGAAGAACAGAGGGATGCAGGGAACTGGCTTGGGAGCAACTGTAACAACTGTACGTACACTCTGGAAGGGGAATCCACACTGCTCTTGTGAACCCACTGTCCATCCACCCATTTCATGCCCATTGCCTTAGTACCTCAATGCCTGTCTCGATGGGTAGAAGAGTGCCTTGGGAAACAGATCTGTTTTCTGAACCTCTGCTTTGTCCTGGCACTGCAGGAGGAGCAGGCAGGCAGGCTGTGTCTGGTGCCTCCTCACACCCCAAGTCCTTGTTAGCAACGGTGCCAAAAAAATGGCTGAAAACACTGAAGGGGTGTGCAACTTGGGAAAGCAGAGGTACTGGTGGGAGCGGGGAGGGCAGGTAGAGTGTGGGATGCTCCTGGGAGGGCAGAGAGAGTAAGTGTACACTGAGCCCTGCATGAGATGCTATTTTATAAGTGGGTAACTCTTTTTGATACAGTTAGTGTGAATGTGACCTTCAAGCAAACAACTATGATGTATAGAGCAGTGTGGTCATGCTCCTCCTCACAATTCCAACCTACTTGCAGCATTGGCATAAGTGTATCTGGCAGGGCAATGACACTATATCCAGGCCAGTAGACCAGAAGCCCTGTGTTTGCCAACAAAGAATTGAAATTCACATTGTAATGAAGGAAAATCTGATCCTGTGCTCCATCCATAAGGGTATTACTAGCAGAGTTAGAGATGTGACCATCTCACGCTACTCAGCACTTGTCAGGCCACACATGGGGTACTGTCTCCAGTTCTGATCTCCACAATTCAAGAAAGACGTGGACAGACTGGAGAGGGTCCAAAGGAAGACCACAAAGATGATCAAAGGACTGGAGAACCTGCCCTATGAGGAAAGACTGAAGAAGTTAGGTCTTTTCTCCCTGGAGAAGAGATGGCTCGGGGGGAATCTCATCACAGCTTTCCAGTACTTAAAGGGAGCTACAAAAAGGATGGAGGCTCTCTCCTCACAAGGAGCCACATTAAGAGGATAAGGGGTACCAGGTGCAAGTTGTACTGGCAGAGGTTTCATCCTGATGTAAGAATGAAATTCTTACAGTGAGAACAATCAATTACTGAAACAACCTCCCCAGGGAAATGGGTGGAGTCCCTATCACTGGAGGTTTCCACAATGCTACTGGACAGGGTGCTAGGTAATCTCATCTAGGCTCCCTTTCCCATGAAAGGCTGAGACAGATGATCTATTAATCCAACCTGGATTGTTCTACAGTTCTGTGATTTTTGAGATTTTTCATAAAGAAGGTTGTGGCAAAAGATAGGCAATGTCTATATAACTTCCATTTATATCCTCAAAAGAGTCAGACTTGAAAATGAAGCTGATATACTTCCATATAAAGATCTTTAAGTTTCTACTGTAGATGAATCATACCTCATAATCTTTTTTTTCTTCTCTCACTACAATGTGATTGTTTGCTGTTTCTAATATTGATATTTGAACACTGATTTCTGTCATTTCTGCTTCACTTTCCAACATGTCAGACATTTCCAGACATTCTCTTCTTCCCATTGACGTCTCAGTCTTTGCACCCTACTCATCTTCTGTGTAACTGAAGCTCCAGTGTATGGTGGAAAAAGTATCCTCTGTATCACCCTCATCTTATTTAAAACACTGCTCAGATGTCATCCTCAAGTTTGCTGTGATGGTGGGAGAAGGATAATTAGCTAACTCTGATGCACTTTCAAGAACTGCTTATCCTAACATGCTAGGTCATAGTTTTTACCTTCCTGTCCACTGCTCAGTGAAATGGTACCTTCCCCTTAAATGCAGATTTTCTGTCACAGTAGCTTTTCAGGAAGCCGCTTGGAATCCATACTGAAAAAGGGTGGCATCACCTTTATAAAAATGCAACTTCCAACATTCCCTACCAGGAGAAGTAACCATTTTGATTTCCTTGAATTGAAACAAGATCACAAGTATA